TCAAGTTAATTTAGGGTTTCATAGGCTTATAAAAAGTTGGAAGTCACATTTTGGGAGATATATGTTATGGGAATGAATTTTATTTTATGAAAGAAGAAAGTTCTTCTCTTGATTTGATTTACAACCATGTTCTTTCTCTATTATTGCTAATTTTACTTGTTTAAGGTTCAGAAAAATGGTGGATTCAGTTTCCCACCATTTCTTCCTGCATTCGTCCCTATATCTTTTCTCACTCTTTCCAACCGTGTCCTCTTGGGCCTGCCTCTTGTCCTTTTTGATCCTTCCACTTGAACTAATTCGCACCTCTTAACAGGTGCTATACTGGGTTTACGCAACACATGACTAGCCTACCTAAGTTTACTTTCTCTCATCTTATCGCCTATTGGTGTCACACCTAAATTCTCCTGAATGTATTAGTGAATTCTATCCCTTCTTGTCTTGCTACTCATCATTCCAATATCCTCATCTCAGCTGCACTCATTCTATGGGTATGTTCTTTCTTGATTGCCCAACATTCCACTCCATACAGCAAAGCAGGTCTCATAGCTGTCCTATAGAACTTGCCCTTCAACTTTATTAGTATACGACGATCACATAAAACTCTAGTTGCACATCTCCACTTTGCCCATCTAGCTTTAAGTTTATGTGCGACATCTTTCTTAATCTCTCAATTTCCCTGGATTATTAACCCAAGATATCAAAAGTGTATTTTTTTTGGTATTTTTTGGCCATCAATCTTAACTACTTCCTCGTCTCTACTCCTATTATTACTAAATATGCATTCCATATACTCTGTTTTAGTCCAGCTAATTTTAAAACTTTTAGATCTAGAGCATCCCTCCCAAGTTTTAACTTTGTGTTGATGCCATTTCTGGTCTCATTTATCAAAACTCTGTCATCCGCAAACAACATGCACCATGGTACCTCATGATTCTCGTTGTAGTACTCAAGCAAACAATTGAGCTCTTGGAAGTTGAACTACTCAAACTCTCATTCTACAGAACTGGGGCTGAGTAGCTTTATGGAATTACCTTCATTAAAATAAAGTAGAGGCTGACCAAATTAGCTATTACTTCATTGTTTGAAAATGCTAATAAGTTCAGTCTCGTCAAAGCAAAAATAACCATAAACAACCAGTTAACTGACATAACCCAAAATCAACTAGTTCATTGTGCTCTCTCTCTCTCTCTCTGCACTTCAATCACTTGCTTATATTGGCTTACTTTCGGAATCCACCTGTCTCTTAACCAACAGTAGGATCTATTCCCAAATCTAGTACTTGGGTGCATTGCATCTTTAGTCCTTAAAAGTAAAATAGACTCTAACATTGGTGGCTGGTCCAAAACTGGTCTATTGGGTAAGGAAGTTAATGATGACTAACTACGGGAAGAGATAAGAAATGATGACCAGATATAGCTTGCATGGAGCAGGGAGAGCCCAAATGTCTCTTCGAAGGAGCAAAGACGAGCATGTGTCTTTCCTTCTGGATCAACATGGAGGGACAATGAACCTCTTAGAAATTATATGTTGGATGTATGATTTAGCTACCTTGTGTATACTTTAAACAAAAAAAGAATTATTAATAGGGGATAGTGTACAATACGTGCACATAAAGAACAAAAGGATAGCAATTTGGGACTGATATCACCAGTTCAAGTACACTTTTACCACTCAAAATTAAAGACACCTCCTTATAGCTTCCGCACACATTCCATTCAATCAGACTAGTGAAGGAAGCATTACAACAAGACAATGTGTGTTTAATACAAAACTCAGCACTCTACAATTACCATTACATTATATACACTGTCAAATGTATCAAAATTCAATATAATTTTCCGTTGCTTTACAAGACTGATACACGGTGGTTACAACTAAATTGTGAGAGAATTAACTGTGAGAAACCAAACTTTGAATTCGTTTGCTCGAGGTCACCCCCTGAGAAACACCCCAAGTGCAATCTTTATCTTCACTTGCACTGGGATCCAGGGCTCTCCCCACTCCATAAAATGGGAAGCCAACAAAGAAAGCAATCTTACACAATAATAGGTGCTTAGATCAGTCTGCATACAAATGGCAATAGAGATCTAGCATGGAGATAGAAATTGTGATCAATTAGAGCATAGAATGTGCACTATATGGAAGGGCTTTTATATGTATGGAATAGGCTTGGGAAATTGGTCACAAAATTATGAAATTCAGATTCTATTTTACTGTAACTGATATTAGAACACAGGTTAAGCAAGATAATGGAGGCTTAATTCTCACAAGTTGGTGGTGTGGGGCATAGATATGGAGAGCAAACTATATGGCATGGTATGGACTATGGTATGGCATGGTGTGGACTGACAAATTGGCCATAAATCTCATGAAACTCAAAGTCTATCCTGCTGTAACTGGTCTTCGAACACCAATTAGAGCAAGATAATGGAAGCTGAATGCTCACAAATAGATGCCGTGGAACATAGATACAAAGGGTAAACTATATGGTACAATATAGACTATAAAATTGCATGGTAAATTCTACAAAATTATGCCTCTTAAGATAAAAAAGGATGAAAGTACCTTGCTGTAAATTTGGAATGCTGCAGAGATTACAGCAAGATGGAATGTCCTTAGTGGAATGTGGCTTGGTTGAAGGTGCTCCATAGGGTTGAAGCGGAAGAAGAAGGAGTGGGTTTTAATGGTGATTTCTCTCACTCAAGGACAATGGACGATGGAAAGCATGGCCCTAAAACTCTCTCTCTCTCTCTCTCTATAGGTGAACACTCTATTCTCTCTCTCTCTAGCATCATAGCATTAGGTTGAATTGAAGCGAGGAAATGAGGGGATGAGGCTCCTTATTTATAGTAGTGGGAGAGGAGTGTGTAGAAGCTTCTTGGGAGGTGGAATGAGAGCCTTTGATTATGGAGATCAATGGAGATCTGGCTATCCTAGATGAAGTGCTGGAAATTTACTCCATTTTCCTCTAGTTTTCAAAGTTCAAACTCAAATTTTCTCCCTAAAATTAAATTGAATTTTCCAATTAGAACTTATCTTAATTTTTAAAATTCAATTTCATATCAAATTTGAATTTTCTTTTAATAATCTTCATTATCTATCACATTGGTTTTGATCAGAAGGGCTTCTAGAAAGCAGGCCGTGCCCCTTAGGTTGAAATCTTCTCTCTAATTTCACATGAAATGAGAGAGATAGGAGAAGATGCTCTCTCTTCATAGTAAACTAACTTGCACATGGGATAAATGAGAACATGACAAGAAGCATGCAGGTGGGCTTTTCAATTTCTGATTAGCCCTAGAGTTTCATTTGAAATGTCAAACCTGTGCTCCTTCTAGATGATCAGCCCATGTGCACCCATGTGCAAAGATTCTCCACATGCCTTAAAAGAAATTAATTTTATTACAAATGAAACACCAACCAAACACCACCTTATGCGATCCTCCTCGGGAATGATGTCATGAGTATTGACATCACCATGACATCATCCCCATGTAGGGTGGCTAAGGCCCACATGCGGTCCCCATTGGATGCCATGCTAATTTAGGCCCTAGAAAAATTAGATAAAGTTTCAAAAAATATTTAAAAATCATTTTTCATCTTATTTTACTCGAATAAATTCATTTGGGTTGCCATAAAAGTATTGTAGAGTAATGGGTACCTTCAGAGTTTGAATCCATAAACCTAGGGCACTCCACTGGGTTCACCTCGAAACCCTCAATCAGTTTCTCAAATCGACCAAATGGAACCCATGACCCTTAGTCTTCTTCAGAGGCTCATGCTTAGTCCATCAAAGCCAATCTAGAGGTGGCTGAATTCCGGGATCTTAGTAGATTATAGGTGCACCCCCAAGGACAAATGTATTATGCACTTTAAATCATGGTGCGAGGGTCCTCTCTCAGCCCATGTGCACATCCTTAATCCAATAGATTACTTGGAAAGGGCGGCTTCCCATAAATGTTGTTGTTATATACGCATGAAGGTCGAGGCCTAGGCCTAGGCCCTTGCCCTCACAAGCCACCAACCCATGGAGGGTATCCTTTCTCCTGATTCATACCTTATTGAGATATCCTTTCTCTTGATCTCTCACAGGCAACCCTGTACACCAGGATTATCCTACCATGTTTAGTTCTAGGCTAACGTTGACCTTGACTGTGGGATAAACCCCAAACCTTATGGTGCCCCACTAAGCCTATGAACCAAAAGGGTTTTGTGACTCAAGACACCACTTCCGGGCCTTAGACGGTCTTGACTGAGTCACTTGGGACCTATTGGGTACCACACTCCCATCGGAGTTAAAATCTAATATAAAAGGACATGAGTTAACATTGTGTCATGGCCATGAAAGACCACATAAATTCAACATTATATAATGGTGCTTTATGAGCTTAAGGACTCAGGCCTAGGTGGTTGTATCTTGGGGTTTGCTCTAGAAACTCTCATTCATCAATTAACCATCATATAGAGAGAGAATATTGTTCTGAAGTCCAGATACGCTATTGCGTGGACCTCTGTATTTGTGGGCTTATGCAAGACTGTCCAGTGGGCAATAAGTCCGGGTTTCTCTCTCTAAATTGGAGGGCTGTTTTCTCTATTTCTGTTTTTTTCATGTCACAATAACGACATGGAACTTAGATGAGCTGGTTCTTGATGATAGTACATCGGAGTGCAAATGAAATTTTGGATGCTGTAAAGACCTTTGGTCTAATTGACCTACACAAAATTTAGCTCAAACCATTTGTAAATAGCAAGATATTAATGTATATGTGAGTGTTGCCACTATGTATACTCTGTAGCTACAACTTTTAGACTTTTCCGCTATCTTATCTCCATCTCTCAACCAACACCTTTAATGATTTAGCCTTTGTGTTGTTTTGGTTCTATTTATTGTGAGCTTGAGTTTGGCCTTTTTAAGAAGTCAATAAGCTTTGTGGTTTTCAAAATTGTTACTTAAACATGTTAAGATGTGATATTTGACATTCTTATTTATTTTATTTTTCCAGGTACCCGGCTTATTGTCGGCCAAATCTATGGCCTAGAAATCATTTACCTGAACTTGAATTAGGTTAGCGAACACTAACTGGTGCTTATTTCATATATTCAAGAAGCAATGCTCTCGATATTTTTGTTTTAAAAGATTTCTTTTAAATATTTTCATTTCTGACATAGTTTTTCAAATTTATATTTCTTGATTATATATTTATTTATATTAAAATAGGATGTGCTCATTTTTCTAGCAGAAGACGTGTATGCTAATTTTATTCAATAAAATTTCATGGAATCACTTCTTGTTAGAATCTAGTAAGAGTTCATGGCAATGTTGTCAGGACTAGACTGGTGACGGAATCTGTAAAGGCACCTGTTCAGTTGGACTGGCCAAACCGGACTGGTTCATTGGTCGGACCAGTCTAAAAAAAATAAATAAGTAATAAAAATAATAAAATAAAGAAAAATTGGAAAAAATATGGAAAAACTAGGAAAAATCTAAAAAATAAAGAGCAACTCTAAAAAATATAAAAAACAAATATAACTCTTCAAGGTTCAAGAAATAAAGAAATACTAATTAATAATGCAATATCTCAAATTTGTAAAGAAGACACACAAACAGAATGCTCATAAAATTTTTTATCAAAAAATTAGTCATGAACTGCAATCATAAGTAGGGAGAAAATAAGTACACCACCACAAGTCCGCAAACTCCAAGCTTGTTTTATGATTAGAATGCTACAAAACCCAAGTGATAATAAGAAAAGTGTCAAAAGTAATTAATAGTCTTTTTCGTTAATTTCATTTCCTTCTTCTTGCTCATCATTGGGCTCCTAAGTGTTGACCTCTAAATCATCATCATCTACACGTATGAGAAAGTTTACACATTATTGAGTAAGATAGAAGCTTACATTCATAGAGTGCATAAAAACTTCAAACATAAAATTAGCTTACATTCGTAGAGTGCATAAAAACTTCAAACATAAAATTATTTAAATTAAAATTTACCTTCTTTTGGGGGTTCTATCTCCATCCAATCATCTATATGCTCCTCAATGCCTTCAAGAGCTAGCCTCTATTTCTCGACAACCCACTCTTCCATAATATTTATTCTCTCCAAAAAATTGGATCCAAGGACATTGGTTTTCTCTGCATCCTACAACATAACATTCCAAAGATTTAAACATAAATAGAAGCAACACTAGAACTTTGTAATTAATGAATACGTAATGAAAAATAAATTAAACAAGATTTATTACCTCTCTTCCAAGCTCAAGTCGTATTGCATAAAAACCAAGTCATTCAGCCTTTTGTGCTCCAACCTATTTCGCTTATCTATATGAATGCGTTGGAAGACACTCCAATTCCTTTCACGCCCACTTTCACTGCAAGTTTGGCTTAGAATACGAATAGCAAAATTCCTAAGGTTGGGAACTTTTTCACCAAATTGTTCTCACCAAGCTGCTAAAAGTGGCAATTAAATAATATAGATTAGAGACAAAAAGAAACAAGATTAGAGGTTAGATACACAATAAAAAGCACAACATATTTAATAAATAAATAAATAAATAATAAAATGGATTACTTGGGAGGATTTTACCACGCAAGGCAATTTCTAAGGGACACCCAAATACTCTTGATCCATTCTGATATTCGCATAACTCTCTCCTGATCGTCACTTCAGGGTATAACTTTTCCACCATGGTATGCAAGCCTCCCAAAACCATAGGATCGGTTAAAAATGTTTCCTTGTTGTAGACGAATTGGGGGTTGAGATAATATGCAGCTGCATGTATAGGATGATGTAACTGCCGATCCCATCTTTTATCAATAATGTCCCAGTATTTCTCATATTGGCTCCTTCTTTGCTTAAGAGCTTTTTTTATAGCTTCTTTGGCCCTATCCATGGCCTCATATATGCACCCCATAGCAGGCCTAGAATCACTATCTACAATTCTTAAAACCTTTACTAGGGGCTCTATAATTTGAATTATATTTAGTCCAGAAATGGCTACTGAAAACCAAATCTACCATCTCCTTTCCACTTGTCTTCTTGGCCCGTATAGAATTTCTCCACACCGCAGATGTAACCATGGCTATCAGACCATTCTTGTGAGGAAGTTAGTAGCAAATCTAGTTATTGCTGGCCTCACTAACTCCCTATCATTTGTATGCTTCCTCATAAGATTGAGAACAAGGGAGTGATTGTAGATAAATTTTGTAATATCTTTTGCGTTATCTACAACTTCTTTAACATGACTCATCTTCCCTATATCCTCTAGCATCAAGTCTATACAATGTGCTACACAAGATGTCCAAAGATGATAACGACCTTGAAGCAAATGCGCAAATGCCCCCCAAGGGAGTAATTGGCTGCAGTATCTGTAATAAATTGAACCACATTCTTTGGCCTCACTTCCTCAACTTTCTTAAATAACTCAAATAATGCTTGCCCAGTCTTGATTATGTTAGAGGCATCCACAGACCCCAAGAAAACTGTTCCTCTATGACAGGACACCAAAAAAATTATCAAATGTCGATCTCTTTTATCTTTCAACCCATCAGCCATGATAGGACATTTATATATCTCCCATATTGCCTTATATTTGGCTGTGGACCCTTTAACCTCGTTCACGGTCTTTTTTAATAAGGCTTAGAATGATGACAGGAAGGGCCTTTATACCCCGTGCCAATGGATGCCACTGCATCCAACATATGCTGAAAATAAATGGAGTTAAGGGCATTGAAAGGGATAGCACATGGATACATCCACTGGACTACAGATAAATCTGCTCTCTCTATAGCTTGCTCCCCAGCCAATACACATTTGATGGCTGGCTGGGAGCCTTGTCCTCGGTGGGAAATAAGCCCCATTCCCACCTTGACCTTGCCTCCCAGGCTTACTACTCGCAGTAGCACGACAAGCTGTGGTGGTATCTCCTTCTAGTTTGAGGGGTTTCCTCAACATCCTCTTCCCCCTCCTCAATATCAACATACTAAGGGTTCTTGATCTCATCGTTAATTTCTTGCCTCTTTTTCTTCCCAGCCATGTGATGTCCAATACGTTTTTGCATCTTATACATCACATAAGAGGGAAATTTGGGACATTTGGCTGCATTCCCAGGCTTTTGGGCTAATGTATTCTCCCTCCATTTATCGGGTTTTGAGCAATATATACAAATATTTTTCCACTTGTCACCCTTTTGTTCTCTTCTTACATGCCTCAGGCTAGAGCTGTTTTTCCTCTATTTGACCCACTCGAGGACATCTTTTCCCAATTCAAATGCCACAATTTGAAACTCAAAATTCTCAAACTACCAATAACAATCTCCCTATAAATACAAAGCATAGCACAAATCACAAATCTTACAACCTCAAAGTCACAAACATAATGCACAATTCCAATACGTGGAAATTTCAGAAGAAAAGCAGATATCAGAAATAAATCAATAACTACAAGAATGCAAAACAATGAAAACAGATGCACATTTTTATTATACCTAATGCGAAAGGCCAAATATGTAGTATGGTATTTCTTTAAAACTGCAACATCAAGGTTATTAGACTACTGAAAAATGAAAATCACAAAATTGCTCATTTTCCTTTCTGTATTTTCTAAAATGAAATTTCATTCATTGATTTTATTTATTTATTTATTTATAGATAACTCAAAGTTCCAAACATGAAAAAGATATAAAGTAAAGAAAGGGAAATTCTGAAATTAAGAAAACAGAAAATTTCAAAAAAAGAAAGTCTTCTCTTTTTTTTTTTTTGTTTTTTTAAAAAACTCTGTGTTTGTTATTTTTATTTTTCTTTTTGCATTTTCCAAAATAAGATTTTTATTCTCTATTTTTTTATTTTTTAGATGTTTCAAATTTCAAAGTTCCAAGCATGAAAAGAATAAAAGAAGTAAAAAAAAAAAGAAAATGAGAAAAATGAGAAAACAAAAATAATTAAAAAAAAAGAAAGTCTTCTCTTTTTTCTTTTTCAATTTCTGTTTTTCATTTTATCTATATTTGGGAAATTTACAATAAAATATATTCAACTACTCCATATTACACAAACATAAACCTTTCATGTAATATTACATATCAATATAGCGGGACGAATATGTGGCCAAAGTAAGATGGAAAAAGGAGAACATGTGGAAATTTGGAGAGCAAAAAAAGTGGAGAGAAAAAATACAATAGAGAGAGAAAATAAAAGTGGACCCAAGTTTTCCTTTCTATCACCTTTCTTTCTACTCGACTGCCCTTTCTCTCTCTTGGTCTCCCTTTCCCTCACCTCCCTTACTGTCTATCTGCTCTCGCTTTCTCTAGCCTTCCTGTGCAAATCCTTGAAAGACCTCCGCTCACTCTTTCATTCCCTGTTCTCCATCTTTTGAACTGTTGAGGATAGCATATTTTGGGCTTAGCTGTAGGGGATTGTTTAGCCACAGCAGGGTTAGGTTTTTTTGCAGAATGTTTTAGTTGCCTTGGCCTATTAGCCTTGTTAACAGTCTTGTTTTTTGCAGCATTGGATTGGGTTTTTTTCAGGAATTTTTACTGACTTTGCAGGGTCAAGATGAAGCCCTATTTCACTTCCTAGTGGTTAACGTCACCTCCTAGTGAACCATTTGTTCTTCTATCCATACTCTTGAATTCCAAATAATAATTTTCACAGAATCGATCTCATTGAAAGCTCTCAAAATTGAATCAGTAATATTTCAGCGCAATTTGAGGGCTAGTTCTCACTATTTCTTTGATATCACCAAGGAAAATTAGGTTAACTCAAAAATGGAAAGTAGGGATTACAAACAAAGAAGAATGGCACCATGATCCTTTCTTCAACAACCATGGCTTTCTCTTTCACATTCATCATTGGCATTTACCACCATTTCCACTATTGGGAGCAGCTCCATTGAAGAATGGCATCACCAACTACCATTGCTTGCATTTTCACACGCATCACTACATCTACCGTCTTTTCCACCATTGAGAGCATCTCCATTGAAGATGCAAAGAAATGTTATTCAAAGTTGAAGAATCAATGACCTGGTACTGTTCCTTGTAATATCGCTCTTCATGTTCTTTTTTTTTT